CGGTTTTTGTCAAGTCAAAAATAGGTGTAGTGTGTTTAGTATGTTTATGCTTTCTAAATGCACGTTTTTTTATGGTGTGAAGTGGAAGATCGATTTCTTCAGATACCAACCATAAAGAAGTTCAGATAACCTGTTCAGTGATCGCCAAAAACAGAATGAACAGAATGTAAAAACAGTAAGGTTGAAGAGAACGATCATATCTCGTAGCTTCATGTGTTATTTCGTTAGTTTATCTGGTATTTCTAGCCAGAAGCAGCTGTGAATAAATAAGCTTCAGATGTTTAATTTTTTTATACCTAGTATTGCTTCATAACAGTTCCCTGATGATAACTAATATTGATGATAATGATAAAAATAAAACTGTCTGCTGGAGCATTCGATTCATCACGCAGTTTCAAGATTTGTTTCATCCACTTTATGTCTGAGAGTCCGTTTCACTTATCATTATTGAACGGTATAAATTATTACATTGAATTAGAATCCTTAATCAGAAAGGGCAATGGAGCAATGGAGCAATGGAGAGAGCCACGGAGCTTATGGAATCAGTTATATAACACGTGCGATCTGAATTTCGCATTGGGAAACAAAAGGTTCCAATGAGATGGATAAAGTGGGTGGTGTTGGGTGTTTTATACGAAGATCGTAATTTCAGACGAGGATTTTGATCAATCCTGGTGGATCACATGTGGCAGTGATGAGGGGTTTGTTGTATCTAAAGGGAACGTCGACAGCTGGCTTGGAAGAGCAAATGCTTCATTTGTATCGATTGAGAAGAAGAACATGGTTTTTTCAATGAAAAGGTGGTGCGCAAATGTTGGTATTTAGAAACTTCGTCGCAATGAGAAAGTATTTCGAGTTGAGGGAAAATGAAAAATAAACTTTGTTACATTTAAACTTTCAGAAGTAGTTAAACTTTGACGGAAATTGGAGTGTAAAGAGGAAGGATGGCTTTTAATAAGAGAGATAGTATGTTCTTTTGAAAACAATGAAGAGATTTGTAGAAAAAAGCATTGACAGTTTTAGCAGTCTCTTTTTTAAACTAAAAAGCGGTTATCAGCCATTTATTTGAAGGCCAACTGCGGAAGAACTACTTGAGAATAATTTTTAGCCAGGTTGTGCACCGATAGTCGATCGGACTAAGGGTGCTGCACTTTTCTACAAACACAAGCTCGCGCGCGCACAAACTATGACTTTACCGTTTAACGTGAGAAAATTTCCATGACATAGCCGACTAAGAAAATCGTATCTCATAGCACGAAGTTATGGTCTGCGATGCAAATCAGTGTGTTTTAGTCATTCTCCCAACGAATGTGCCTATAATCGTCCACGTAACTGAACTGAGAGTAAGGCCTGAAATGTGAGAAACAGATGATACAATACGATGCATAAACAAAGTAAATTGTACACGTACATGGAAAATCAGTCAGACGCGTTAGATAAAGAGCGAAAGTGATACTCGATCATTCATCAGGGACTAGACCTATTGAAGAAGTGATTTTATGACTGAATACCATTTAACGATAAGCAAACCTCATAATCATCTGTGTCTCTACATTGAATTGGAGTGCAATTAACGCATATCCCTGAAACTGGAAGGACGTAAACACAAATGACCAATGGTAAATAATACGGAGGGAGTGAGGACATGGTTACTCTGAAGGGTTTGTGGTTGTTGTATTAGAGATGAATAAAATCTTGAAAATGTTGCAACAGCTTTGATAAACCTCAGTCCAAATTCATAGTGATAAGACATCTTTGATAGTTAGTAGATTTACGCTGTTACTTTGCACATTTATCAACCAAAAGCGTTCGATTATTAAAAAATGTTAAAAGCGTTTGCTATTTTTCTCTGGTTTTTCTCTATTTAATTTTCCGCAAACTATCAAACGTGCGATATCTTATTGGTTCTAATTGAGAGTGTATTCACAAGAACAACTATTTTACACGTGTGTCAATCACTCTGAGTATGGAATCATACAGTAGCAGAGTTTGTGGACCAAATAACTTTCACCACTCATGATAAATAAATCCATCGTCCGACATCCTCAATGAAGTAGTTGCCGTTTCTTCTCAGACGCTAGACCCATGGCAGGCGATCAAACACTACATGGCGTTAGACAATGCAAATGACAATGTTTCATGGATGTATAAACAAACCCGCTACTCTAACTAAGGGCAGGGCTGACTCTTTTTCAATAAACATTTGGGTGCATTCAAGAACATTAGCATTATTCCACGGCGTGTGCAACACACACGTGGCGTTAACACAAAATTTCAGACTCGGAACATTGTTCATAGCCTAAGATATTTATTTGAAGCGCAAATGAGTAAATATGTGAACTAATTGGGTACAATCACTGGACGTTAACACCGGTGAACTACAATGTGGTGTCAATGATAATTTTTTCACTCCTTACGAAATCGTATCAAAAGATCGTTTTCGCCTAATTTTAGCTCTCCTGACTTGGATCAACGTGATGAAAGTGCGTTGGGCTGCGCGTATCCAAGATATGTTCACGGCGGCCAAGTTGTTGGCCCTATCTTTGATCATTGTCACCGGAGCGGTACTACTTGGAATGGGTAAGTAGTTGTTGTATAATTGTGAGGTCATCAGTAGGGGTGAGGTCACATAAAAGCAGTTTCTATATCGTGGGGTTTAACACTAAACATTCAAGATGAATTCGACTTCTATTATCGAAAAAGAAGTCTAAATATTTAGTACCGAAATAATGATGGTTACTTGGGTTTAATCAGATATCATGTTTGTGTGAACGCTATAAATGCAGTAATAGTTTATTCCTACAACAAAAATACACCCTTCATTCTGAGCACACCGATTCCGTTTTCAGGGTGCGATGCCTTACTTTTCATGGTTCTGTGTTTTGTATGATGCAGTTATTATTATTGTATTTCACAGGTGTCTGAGTTTATACTGTGTGCCCTACAAATCCCAGTACAATAATCTTTTTAACAAAAGCTGATGCAAAGGTAAAATGTGTTTAAATGCTTCTTTTTGGTAAAAATTATAACATTTCACTCAAATTAAATTGAGTCGAATTGAGTATTTAGTCTATTATCGTAGGAGGTTCATATTTAGTGATTACCACATCACTATGAAGGAGGGCAATATAATCTGATTACCTAATTATGTAAAAAACTTTGAAAGCGCGGTTAACCAAACCGTAAGATCGGTTCAAGGTGAGTTAGTTTGAGCTAGCAGCTTATTTGACCTGCCTAGGGCACCACAACTTAGACCTAAGCCATCATGAGTGTAGACGTTTGTAATGAGCAAACAACCATATAAACTGGGTTCGGTTACTGGGTAATTGGCGTATCAAATCCACTGACTAGTGTTTGCAGGACAATGTTTCACTTGTGTTGATAAGCTAGGAAGCACCGGCATAGATAAGATTGTGCCAGCTAAACCGTTACACCTAAAAACCTGAGTCGTCTATTCCTTTTGCAATTAAAGTTGTCCGAATCTCATTTCATAATGTCCGAACATCAGTTACAGTTGTCTCAGTACCATTACAAGCTATTTAAGTATAATTCCTAGATGACTCAGCATCATTTCAAGCTGTCTCGTTGTTCCAATCAGTCCTGTTCAAGCCTCTTACCGATGGAGCTACGCATGATCGATTGGTGTCTCACTGCAGCCGCTTGAGATGTAGCCCATAAATCCTTTACTAAATTCTATTCTATACGATGGGCATAAGCAACTGCTGAAGCATCGATCGCGCATCATAGATTGATATCAGACCCGATATGACTTTCTAGGAGGGGGAGACGAACACACACAGATGCGTACGCCTAAAGCAAGGTAGACAACCAATATGCCACGATAATTGGGTGTGTGAGCGAGCAAAGTCTCACAAACGTCTCCCTCGAGCTTCAGTAGGAGGATGAGAAATCTGTGCTGCGTGGTGGTCATCCGGACATTGCTAAGAGGCTTAAACAGTACACGGGCCTGACAGCGCTGCCGAGGTTAACGAAACAGCGTGAAATGATCCTGAGACATCTAGGAGGGATACTGAGATAGCTTGAAATGATATAGGGACATGTTAAATTGCAAATGGCGTATATAACAGTTCAGTTGCAAGCCTGGGAATACGAAGAGACAAACGGAAGCAAGTGGGGTGGGCTGTGCGAATTCGCAGTTCTTGCAAACAAAGTTGAGACAGTATGGACTCTGGTTTTATAGGCGGAACAAAAGATATGTTGTGGTAGGGGTAATTTGGTTTATTTCGCAGGTAAATGCTGAGTGCGTGTAGACACAATAAATAAAGTATACAGTATTTGCAAATCTGTTGTAGTGAAGGCAGAACCTATGTGTAGATGGGAAGATTCAAAAGAATAATCTGCCTTCATAGTAAGTCAAGTCAGGTCAAGAGTGCACTTTATTCATCCAATGTGAACAGGAATTTCAATGAAAAAATGTTATCACTCTCGCCTGAAACCCGCAAAATACTAATTTTAGTAGGAAGTCATCTGGATATGGCATTATAAAACGGTAGCTACGAGTTTGAATGTCAAACAAATTTTGGAATAAGGTCTGTGCCCTCGAGCTCGGAGGTGCAATACGTGAATTGATCCATTCTCCGTTTTTCTTATCGTACAACTGTGCTTTCTCAAATAAAAACTTTCATACATTATTCGACGCAGGAATGTCTAACAGGTACCGAATTCACAAAGCTCCGTAAAAGCAACTGGTTGACTTTTGTGACCTGTGATTATCATTTACCCAACTCTCATCTAACGCTGCAAGAGGCTAAGGACCGAATGATGCATTGGTAGCTACGCCTCATCAAACCACTCAACATGTGATCCTAATAAGATAATCGTTGTTTGCAAACCTCAGTAAGATAGTGTGCAGTATTCGGAAACAGCTATGCTTCCATGAGATCTACTACTTGATCCAATGGCTACAAATAAACTCTGTCAAATTGAAAAGAATTGATGAATCCCCGAGTTGCCTCTACATCTACCAAATGAATGAAATCATAGGGATTTATTAGTAACTATGCAGCAATAAACTGGTTAGTGCTTGATTGTGCGAAGTCTATAAATGAGCATTTAAACAAAAACATCTATTTTAGCAGAATTGCATCAATTTTTGATATTTTATAAAGCAGGTGCATTCTTCTCAAAGTGGGAGCCGCATTGAAGTAAATAGCATATAACCAGGATGATTTGAAAATTTAATTTATAAAGGAATCCCATTTTGGTTTGCTGTCATCGATTCATTTGCGGATATATTTTTTCCAGGCAAAGTAGAAAACTTCGACGACCTTTTCACACTGCACAAACCAATAAGCGCATCGGATGTCTCACTGGCACTTTATTCCGGTCTTTTCGCCTACGCTGGATGGTAAGCTGACAGTTAAATATAATGATTTCAATGTTAATTAAAGTTTAGAGCATTTTAAAAACGAGGAACTCTAGCGGTCTCGAGTAGTGGAAGAAATGGCTGGAGTAGGATAGCTGATCTGTAGTGTTTAATAGTGGAAACTGATCACATAAACCCTGAGAATTGTAGTGTCAATTGTGGAACCGTTTGGATCGATACACATCAGTGGCACCAACGTTTTTCATTGGAGAGTGAATACCCATATACATCGAACTCTTTTAACTGATGTTGCTGATATCTTCCAGAAGGGATTCTTCAGTTGTTTTGGTTGTGAAATATTGCGATTTACAGTTGAATTACTCCCAGTGGATCTCCTCGAATTTGCAGGGTTACAGTTGCAGCAGTTTAAAAGTTATTTGAGTCAGAGTCTATTCTGATCCGTCAGCTTGAACAATGTCAGGTTTTTGGCTTGGATTCAAAATTAAGTAGAAGCGAGGTCAGAAAGTCCCAAGTCATAAATACTAATGTTCTTGGCTTGTATAAATGAATGTGTAAATAGGTCCTTCGTTGAATAGAACTATCAAATTTTTGAGTATTAGAGACTGACGTATGCAAAGTGAACTTGATAATCTCGCTCACTGTATGATTTCATTCACTATGTATTTCATGGTCTTGCAATCAAAAATAATTCCGCAAGGCTAGATGACTATTGATCCTGTTTTAAGTGTTTGTCGTCAATACCTGGCTGTTCTCGATTCCTATTTCAATGTAGTTAGTTGGCCAGCACGTGATGATAGTTGAAAAGGGAGTTAGTAACATGTGCATTGAAGATTCTTATACTTTATCAGAGAAAGATACATGAATGCTATAGTCATGATGCCTGAGTCGTCAATCCCAGAGCGAGGTCAATTTTCAGTAGCGTCTCTTCCCGGCCCAGGAAGTTTTATATGCTTCTGAGCCAATGAAATTTGTAATTACAGGAATTTTTTTGATATATGCAGATCGTTGGGGCGCTCAGTATACACCTCAGGCTCCTAACGCTTGGCCAATGTAAACGCAAGACACTCATTGATTTTCATTTGCTAGATTACATAGTTAGAGCCACTTAACGAGTCCTAATGGTTTGGTAGATTTAATGTCTTGTCCGGAATGTGCAAAAACAGGTGATCGTAATTGGAATGCATTTCAGTTGTGTTCAGTCTACAGTCTCCAAGTTCAGGTAGCAGCACCATACGACTTTTTCATTGAACATTCTAGCTATGACATGTGAACTTAATAGTGCTGAAACTCACTTTTCATAATAGTTCGTCGGCAGAAAATCAACGCATACATACGGAACTTGACGATCAAAAAAGTGTGATATCGTGACATTTATGCGTGTTTGAGTGATCCCGTTTTTACCTGACGCTGTGTTTACTGAAAATCATTTATGTATGTTATCCAAGAGATCTTGGGTACGTATTGAAATCCGCGAAGGGAACGACCTCGTCAAACATCGATGCATTTGAAATAAGTAAACAACTAGTCATCTCAAATTTCAAATTCCAATTTTTATTATGCGAAAAACGTACAAAGACTTCACTTATAAAATCCTATAGGGTGTTTACATTTTGGGTTCGGAACACGATTCACAAGATCGCAGTTGGTTCATGTGCGCAAAAGAGCAATGTAATGTTCATGACAAGCACAGGGGAATAGATTATGTAGTTGAGTGTTGAAACATGATGCTTACCAGAGCATCATGAAGCTAACGCTTGAAAGATACCAATGTTAACGCATAGACCTCGTGAAGTGGTAGAGAGTTTCATGTGCTGCATACTCTGANCTCTGACTGCAAACGAATGGCTTCTGCAGTGGAGACGGCACTTTTGGAGTGCTAACTTCAGTGGATGCCCTCTGAGATGAACATTGGTTGATAGAACCAAAAGAGATCTACATAGGTGGTGGGGCTGTTGGAAAATCCGATACATTGAGGTCATATCACTTCTGATTTGGTGATATTGAGATAAGTATAGGCTCAACAGCTGTAATCCTCGCCATATTTCTTGGAATGTAGACCTTTGACTATCTTGGTAGCCATTCTCTGCGGATGTTCGAGTGCCTTCTGATCTCGCCGTAGCCATGGGTTCCAGGCCTGAATTGAGTACTCGGTGTATGGACGGATGTATATAGCTAACAGACGTGGAAACAAAGCCGGCTCAAACGATTCAAAATCACGTTTGAGCAGTCCAATCTGTTTTACCGCCAGGGATGATGCCCTGGGACAGTTTGTGGAGCGACGGAAGTCTGCGCGAATGACCACTCCCAGATCCTTCTCGGATGGAGCTCGAGGCACAGTTTTGTGTTCGAGAGTGTACGAAAAACGACCATTGTGACTTAGTGATAAGACTTTGCATGTCTTAACGTTGAATTCATGACCTTAGAGACAGACCATCTTCGCCTTCGTCAAGGGCGTTCTGGAGATCAAATGAATCTTTCGGTTTTGTTATTATCCTCTATATTTTGGCATTGTTGGCAGAGTTTGTGATCCGAAGACGTCTGGAAGATCATTTATAAAGGCAAGGAAAAGACGTGGGCTCAGATCCCTATTGTATTAGAAAGAGAATCGGAAACACGAACTGACATGGTATGTATTCGAAGAAACTCACCGATCCAGCCAAGTGCCAGCCCACGGATCCCATAGTTATACAGCTTCCATATCAGTATTTGATGATTTACCCTATCAAACGCCTGGTAGAGGTCCAGTTAATTAACATCTACCACTTTGCCTTGGAGAACAGCTTGAGTTCACTCGTCCCAAGCCAAAATCAAGCTAGTTGCGGATGACCGATTTTTCCGAAACCCGTGCTGGGCTGGGGATAGTAAGCTATTACTCTCCAGATGATCCAACAGTGGATTCCCTGACATTTGACAACACTAGAAGGAGAAGGACGGGTCGATAGTTGTCTGGGTCACTACGGCATCCACCTTTGTAAATTGGTGTAGTGACACCGTTTTTCCACACCTGAGGAAGCACAGTATCTTCAATTTTTGGTATAGTCCACCTAAAGGATCGGCTATGTGATTTACCAGAGTGATAAGAGCTTTTGGATGTATTTTGTATAAACCCGGTGATGAGTTCTTCTTGAAAGCCAAAAGCTTTGCCTTTATCCTTTCGGGAGAAAAGATATCTGTCAGTAATGGATAAGGAATATGTTCCAGCATTGATCACTTGAGAGTACTTTAGTCTAAGCATTTCGGCAGTCTGTCTTGTTGTCCTTGAAACATGTCCTACCAAATTTAGTATCGGAAACCCATGTTTGACTTTCTGGGAAGCGTTTACATGCTTATATAATAGCTTAGGGTTTGCGATAAATTTCCTCGCGTATCATGATAAGTGTGCTTGTCTTCCCTCATCAAACTGATGCAATGGTTTTGAAAGAGACTGTAAGCTTCCTAAGTGCTGGGGAATGAGCAACGTTTGAACTCCCTCCATTAAAAGTCCTTTTGCATTATCCATTTTGTAATTTGACTGCGAATTGCTGATTTTTGAACAGTCGGCTGGCATAGACGCTTGACTGTTTTAAACTAGCCACCAACGTTGTGATACTGTTAACAGATCTCCAGAATTCCAGGGGATTACATCCTATATAAGGGGAGTCTCACTGAATTCCATGAGCCAGGGTGCTTAGCCTCGCGTAGTGAGTTATGATGAGAAAGCGATCTGAAGAAACTGTTGTTACCGATACTTGGCAAACGTGTTCGGACAATAATACAGCGTGATCACTGCGCCCCAACGGAGTTGCGATTGCAATTGATTCTACCATCAATTTTCTTTTGTCAATACTAAATCCAAAGTTGACAAAATTCGGTTGGTTCCAAACCTGTTAGGTCCCTTCACATGATTGTACAACGGATGTGACTGCTTGAACTGCACGGCGTAAATGATCTGCTATAAGCTTGTCTTTGCTCAAAATGTACAAAAGTAGTCAAGTTACATTTTGAAGATAGTTAATGGAAATCAGACTAGGAAAAAAGATGATAGTATGTGCATAATTTTCGTTCATTAGCATGCTACATGTTTTATGGATGTGAAATTATTTGATCCCTTTTAGGGGGAGGGGAGCGCCGTAAATAGTGGCACTCACTTTATGCACCTTTTTTCTTTCATCACTGAGTCCAAGAGGACCGACTAACTTTTAAGTAATTAGTTCTACAAAGTCTAAAACCTCAGGTTATTACAACTAAAGTGCACTAATAAATAATACCCTTTGAGTAGTGTAGATTTATATGTACCATACGGATTTACTGTATCGCTTCCTACAAAAGCAAAATCGGTTCAAAGATTCAAATGGTATTTTTATTTTTTGTTTGTCGCTTTTCTCAGGAATTTTCTCAATTTGGTAACCGAAGAATTGAAAGATCCGGGAAAGTAAGAGTTGCTATTTGTTTTAACCTCAAATGAACACACACAACTTTCGTATTTTTACATTTTGGTTTAAAAGAATTAGGGTAAAAATTTGGTTATAACTACTACGCTAAAAGTGGACTGATTTTTCGAGAGGTGAAATTTGAGTTTGGGCAGATAATTAACTCGCTATTTGTGAAAGTTTATTCGTCTTGCATAATCCATGTGTTTCTAATGACCAAAACGCCTCAGCGGCACTGCACAGCTGTATGGATACTGTGTTGAGACATTTTTTAGAATCGTGGATTTGGTATTTTAGTTGACGTTTAATCCTCCATTTGTTGGTGAGTAACGATGTGGGCTAAACAGAATTGATTTGCACCGACCATGAGGAGACTTCACTTTCACCCTCCTTCATATCCTGAGTTAACCATACACTCCGGAACAACTATACACTCGATTTTTGTTGCTAGAGTTCGTCGTTAGCGCGTCTTCTCCAGCGCTTTTGGGTGCTGAATTCCGGACCTGTTGAATTAAGGGCCGACCAGATCGCATTAAGGTAGACCAGAATTATCAGTTCAAATTTGTTCAGATGTGTTTGAGTATGATCAGGCGGTAAACTGTGGCCTGGAGGAAAAAG